CAGCCAGTTTGCAACAGATGAGTCTGGCCTAGTTAGAGCTGAATTCCCCGGGGTTTACACTGTGGTTTGGCAGCGGGATCTGTCCTGCCTTTGAATCAAAGTTGCTGAGCAGCAAATTGCATGTGCTGCATGTCCGGGAGGCAGCGATGCAGCTCGGCCCCGTTCCTGGAGGACGGGAGCGCTCCCTGGGCTACCGTGTTCCTCAGGAGGCAGCACTGGGATTATCTGCTCTGTCTAAGGCCGGTCAGATGACCATACTGTTAGAAATGGATTTAATATCCTTAATCGGTTTAATATGAACTTTGTTATCCTCGCAGATAAATGTTAGTGCCCGACCAGACTAGCTGCTGGTCTGGCCGTTGTGGCAGCCGCCCGCTCGTAGCGGGGACGTGGGCAGAGCTGCCCTCCGTGCTGGCCCCGTGCGGCGCCTTGGGGGTCCCAGGGGAGCCTGGCTCTGTCACCCTCGTCCATCCTACGGCAGAATGGGAAAAGGAAGGTGGAAACTCGCTCTGATCCCCCCAGCTGCCGAGCGGCAAGAAGCAGGTGAGGTTTTTTCCTCCGACAGGTGACGAGCTGCTCTCCAGGAAAGAAACCAGGATCTGTTTTGCCTCTGCTGTCCCGAGGACACAGCCTGGGGACCACAGCCCAGCTCGTGGCAAGGGCTGCATCCGTTCCCGGTGCAGGAGGCAGCTCCCTGCTCCAGGCCCTGCCTCCCGCGGAAGGGGCAAACAATGCGGAACAGCTCCCGATCCGGCCAGGAATCACTGAGAAAGTTATTGTGGTCTCAGGTTTCTGGCCGCTGCCGGAGCCGAGCGGTTTGGGGATGGGGAATGGCCCTCGGCTCCATCTGCCCTCCGCTAATCTCCAGACAAGCGCAGCTCTTCCATCTGTGCAGCCGGAGCCGCTGAGCCCATCACACCGGCCACTTAATCTAAATGGCTTGGGCCAAAGATAAGGTCATTAATTACGCTGGGATTAGAAGGCAGCGCGGGCCTGGCTCGGCTCGGCTCCCCCCTGCCGCGGTAGCCCTGGCCCGGATGGGCCTCAAGGTGGGAGAGCCCCATGGGGGAGAGAAGCGAGCGCATCCCGTCCGCATCCCAGCGCTCCAGTGTCCCCGGGAGCTCCCATGGGTCCCTGGCCTGGCCTTGCTCCCCGTGCGGAGGCTCCAGAGCCCCTTGGCTGCACTGGCCCTTAGGGGTGGTCCAGGGCCGCCCTTCTGCCCTTTCACTGCTCTTTTCCCAGGAAAAGCAAGGAGCCCTCAGTTCCAGGCCCCTGCTTCCCC